CATTTATATGGGATCCTGGATGAATCTAGCATGTCTTTGCTAATTGTTCGTTTATAAGGCGGCTTTCGGGATATGTCAAATGTTATGTGGAATTGATTCGATTGTGTGAAAAGTGGGCCACCTTTCACGAAGTAGGCCGAATGCATCCAATAAATAAATACGGTCAAGTCGTGAGCTCACAAAACCAGTTTATAAACCCAAAAATGGACAAATCAACTACTGCTTTGTGGGTGTTACGCAATTCAAGCCAACCGTGGAGCGGATAGCCAGTCATTCCTGTTTGCGTGTTGTCCCGCCATCGTCAGTGTTGCCATCGGCTGGCGAGGATTGCCGACGCAACGGCGGCACGGCCCTCGGTTACCCGATCAGCCGGTCAGCCGGTCGGCTTGAAGCCGGGCCGGAGGTCGAGGAGGCGGTTTGAAGCGATCTGCCAAAACGACCTAATACACACACACACACACACACATACACACATACACATACACTGCTGTCTGGACGAACAGGTTGGCAACAGCGAGACACAAAGCGTCTTGTCGGCCAGCTGGGCGATACGTATGGGGTGGGGTGGCGACCGGGTGGTACAGGAAGTGGGCCGAACGTGCTGCCGGTTCGGGGCGGTGGCGAGGTGAGATGGTCGGTGGAAACGGGTTGATGAGGCGAGTTTTGGGGATGCATGAAAAAAAAGCGCCAGAAAAAGTCATTCGCATGTGTGATTCTCTAAGCGCTGCCAGGCTCAAGTGGACACGTGTGAATCGGCTTGTGTGTTTGAAGTGTGATTTATTCGCCTTATTCTGGCGCTGCCTCCCGGCTCACTCCCGGCACCGGTTTGTGTCGCCTCGTGTTTGGTGTGTGAGAAACTAACATTAATTAGAACCCACACACTCACACCAACTTTGCCAGACAAAGGGACAATGTGTGTTTTTGTGCAGAGGGTGGGGCAAGTGTGGCTGGCGCTGGTGGTTTTGCCGATTGCCGGGTCGTTTGCGACCACACGTCGTCTGCACCGTCTCGAGATGAGGCCAGCTCGAATGTTCTACCGACTTGGC